GACGTAGGCAGAGTTGGCCTTCCTAGAGTTCCGGTAAATTCAATCCCCGCATAAGATCCCTCACCTGCGGTGTCAGGGTACCCCGAACACCTTGTCAGCCGACTCGTAGAACCCAAAACCTTTTTCTTAGTCCACGCGTTCATAACGAACTAACGAGCCTCGCCACCCTAGGCCCCCCCAGCCTCCACCTCCCAAAAGAGCAACCAACTTTCCCACCCCCGAGGGCACCAGCTATCACAGGTCCCCTGCCCCCCCCCCCCCCCCATGAGCATTAGGCTGTCTTTTTTGCACCAACAAAATACTATGACTTGACTCTGAGGTCGCAGTGTAGTATCTGATGAAGGGGAAAAAGACCTCATGGTAAAGATAACGCGTGAACTTATACTACAAGCACGGGCCAAACTTGAAATAGACAAGCCCCCGGAAAATGAATGAAATACATAATGCAGAAATAAATACAACATGAAGGAATTCTAGCCTTGTGTGATGTTGTTTATGTTTTTTGTTTTTTTTCATTTTCCGGGGCCGCGGGCATTCCGTCAATTGCTTTTGGGTGTATGATGTATGTGTTTTGGTTTTCCGCCCCCCCCCCCTCCCTCCCGGAATTCCGATGCTTTTTTTCCGATTCTTTTCGATTTTTTTTGAAATTTCCCCCCGCCACCCCCTAATTCCAGCGTTTTTTTTCGATTAGTGTTTTTGGTTTTGTTTGTTAGTTGAAAACACATATCAAATCCCACTTGCGTTCTAAGGAATATTTAGTATCATAACTACAGCACTTGGAACTGGAAATTCCCGGACTTTCCAGTGTTCGGAAGGGCCAATGTTATTAGCAAGAAAAGAACAAGCCGTGGCCAACCTTAGAGACAATAAGCACCTCCGCCTCGGGGGACATCCACATTGAGGAGTTAAAGTCACATCATGCTGTTGCTTTTTAAGCTTTGAAAGTAAGCATTTTGCTGGGGATGTCGGCCATCCCAGTTGTTGCAAAACTGGCCTTTTGTCTCCGTTTAGGATCCGCAGCTTACGTTGAGCCTCTCGGTCTCCCAGCAGGCTGCCAGGTATTCCTACGCTCGCTGCAGCAGCCGGGGGAATGGCTCCCGGTGCCTCGAAGGGTTTGAAAGCGTTCAGAATCGTTTAGGCGTGGCGGTCAGATTGGTAAGGTTTCCTGTGCCAGGCTTCAGATTCTTCACAGGTAAGGGCTGTCAGGGCTTCAGGGTCAACTATTGGCATAGGGTGAAGAAGTCGAGTTTTAGCGCAAAGTGGCGCAAAGCAGTGGAAATGGTCGGAGAGTTTCGTGTGGGGAAAGGGCATGTGGCCTACAACGATGGGTCTAGGTCCCGGGCAGTTGGCTTTCGATCCTGCAAGGAATCCCAGCAGTCCAGCATCAGAAAAGTATCATTAGTAAAGCACCATTATATCAGACGTCTGCTCTGGCGTAAGGACTACGAAATCAGACTTGCACGTCAGCAACAACAAACACAGCTTTTCAACTTTAGCAAACTATGCTAGTGGAGACATCGTCCAGGCGAGAAGCTACTGAAAGTAGCCCATGTTTCGGTCGTAAACGGTTGACATTTTTGTTGTCAGTTTATGATACCACTGCGAGGTGCTTCAAGACGCGATACCCTAATTTCTTCTACACGTATACTGCACCGTTCCTACCAGTGTTTGGGAATTGCAGGAGGCAGGCGACCTTCTCTTAACAAGCTGCCAAGGCCATGGTACCTTGGTTCATCGCCAAGTTCTTGGGGAACTTTGTCATGGAGGATGGTCTGCGGTCTTGCACCGGGAGCCTGAGACAATGACAAGAAAGGAATGTTACTGGAAGGGCGGTTCTGCAATTTGTTAGTTCCTGCATGCCATGGCACGTTGGCCACCGGGCTTGTCGCAGAAGCATTCCAGGAATGTAAAAAACACTATGTATTTTCAAACGAGGTACGCAGACTCTTTCCTCGCATTGTCACCAGAAAAACCCCTGCCCCTTCCCTCCCCTTCCACCTCCTCCTCCCTGCATTCTTGAGCACGCACGTAGGTTCGTAAGCTCCACGACAAAGATTCGAGCATCAGAGCCGGAGGATGCTTTTCCCTTGCTGTTCAACACCTTCAACACGGCGCGGGTCCCCATCTTTGGCCCCGACAGCACGAGCCCCACAATCCCCTTCCAGCGCCCAACCTTATAAAGCTGCTTCGGTCGTGCGTCCTGATGCGTTCTTCGGTGCCCCAGTAACACTGAAGACCCAAATTGATCAGACAACCGGCCTCCAACAGCAAAGGTATTACACTGCCTGGTACTGGTTTGTCCTCGTGGCTTTGGGAGATACCATCAGCCGGCGTGTGCCAATGTACCTCTCCCTCACCAGCTCCTTGGCTCACAGTCCAGGGTGACTCCGGAGCGCTGCTTTGCGCCTGTGTAGAGCAGATTGTGAGTTTTGGCGGGTTTGCGAGGCTTCGGATCGGCGGCTCTTCTCTGGATTCAGGGCAATTTTGAGCATCTGGTTGAGCTTAAATGAAGAGGCTTGGACCTAGGATGGGCATGAGGGTCTTGAGGCCACTTGTCGTTCAAATTGGTAGGGTGTTAAGTTGAGGGGGAAGGCCCGCAGAACGCACTGGTCTTTGGTCTTGGGGCGTCTCCAGTGCTGCCGCACGACTTGGTCACTTGGGTGTAGTCTTAAAAAACCTATTCCCGAATCCTGCCCGTGTATCAGCACGCGAGTCTTGCAAACAGTTCAGAAAATCCCAAGCTAAGATTTCATCGCTGAGCAGCGCCCAAGCTCACCTGCCTCTCACATCCAGAATGTGTGTGCGCCTCACGATCCGTTAAGACGCTGGCGCCCTATCGTAAAGACGCTTCTAACTTCGCGGTCACACTTTTTCAGGCCACTATTTTCCAAGCGTCTTCGAGCCAGTTAAGCGGTAAAAGGGGTGCCTGTTCAGTAAGGTTCCAAGTTGAACAGAAATGCGGGCGTCTAGGTTCTACGCCCTTCGAAAGGCCTGCAAAACTCTTACCACCCAAACCGCGTGGCGTTCCGACTGCTTAGATTGAAGGGTCAAAAGAGGTTTTGCTTAGCCATCTTAGCCCTGCTGAGCCCCACTCAATTGTAAAGGATTTCTGCATGTTCCGCATAAAGATGCTTTACTGTAAATAGGGTTGTTGAGTCGTTGACATCTGAAAGGTTCCAGATTCTCCAGGTGGTTCTTTGCTTTGGCACGAGGTTTAACAACTACTGCTGAATCTGGCAGCCTCAATAGTCCAAATGTTGAGATCCCAACTAAATCAGTCGCCACGCCGAAGCCTAAACCCTTCAAACCCTTCAACTATTGGTGGAGTAACGAAAACCTTCAATTCAAGATCAACAGCCTGAGCGACTAAAAGTCGGAGTAGCGAAGCAAAAGCTGTACCTAGCTATCAAATCGAAAGCCTTCCCAGATCTGTGTGCCCCTAGCCGAAGCCCCTAAAAACTGCCTGAGCTTCTACTCATGGAGGCTGGAACAGCTGGGCCTTGTGGATCGTGGTGTCCATTGTTCTCTGCATTGGAGGTTCACAGCTGAGCTTGAAAGCTCTCCCAATGGAGCGTGTTTGAGGGGTGAAAGGGGGGTTGGCTGAGAGCGCGTTGTCACGGGCGTAATATGGTAGAACACTTTTGTGAGATCGCAACATCCGACTCCTGTTTTGGGAACAAGCGGCTTTGCACCTTCAGAGTGTAACAGGAGAGGCCCTCAACTTCTTGCTGCTTGCCATTGTCACTGGCCTTGCGGCATTCATCGCGTACTTCGGAAATGGACACCTGGTCGTCTTCAGAAACAATAGCTGAATAAGATTTCAAGACTGAAGGCTGAGGGCTGTGGTATCTTGTGGTGTCTGGCGGGTAGCGACTTCACGTGCCACGTTTGCTTGACTTTGCCGAACTTTGCAGAACAATGCCATGCTAGCGGTCCCCATTCTTGAAATCCACGGATGATGTGGTATGACAAAGGACTGATTTACGGCCTGTCCGCCAAGTTCATTGATGCGAACATCCCTCCACAGCATCGATACACAGCCTACAACTTGCTGCCTGTCTAAGGCTAAGGTGAATTTCAATCAGCACTTGAGTGTTCCGCAGTCAGTATCGACTTCCCATAAGTGAAAGTCGTGCACAGCTTCCCAAGCACTTCCTAGGGATCTCTTGAGGTGGTGCTTTGCTGGCGACCTTGGTGGCTATGCTGGCCAGAGCAACTGGGCACACCTGGGCACAACAGGCAGCTCGTTGATTAAGCAGACATTGCTTCCAGATGCGCAGGCAGCTTGTCCGTCCACATTGCTCAGCAAGTTTGCGAGGGCAGGCACTTCACGCGACTTGGTAGCCTTTGCCGTGTGTTTGCTGAACTCCTTCGATGTGACTAGACGTTCAGCAGCCATCAAATCACAAACCAGGTACGTGTGCCATCAGAAGACGGCCTTTTCTTGGGACACCGCCAGGGAGTGGCAAGCGATTGCCTGGCCCGCTGGGCTCTTTTGAGCATGCCGTCGTTGCATTTGCTTGCGTTGTATCTGCACAGATTCCCCTGGTGTTTCCTGATCTGCACCGGGCGAACATAGAGTAGGTCAGTTTATTTGTCGGCCGTGGTTGGCTGCTTGCCATTGCTTGGATGGCAGATGCAGCCTTGCCAGAAGCCGACTCGGCCCAATGCTCGACGTGCGTGCGTGCACGAGCTTTGCAACCCTGAAGCGAGGGAATGGTCTTCGGCTTCATTTCCGAACGGACGGGAAAATGCTTTGTCCTATCATGTCCTGCTACACTTCAGGCCACAGGCTGGTGCTTGAAGCACCTGCCTGCCCTTGATTTCTGGGAAAAGCGCGCCGAGAAAGTTGCATACTGCTTCCACCACAGATTATGCCCTTTCGAAGTAGAGGGGGCCAGCAGCTGCTTGCATGAGCCTCGCGCAGCCCTAAATGGCCTGTGTCCTGAAGTCAAAAAATCACCACCCGACGCATCGCAGAAGCTCCTGCGAGCCTCAAGGTTGCCCAACTCCAGATGCAAGTGCAGCGGCAGGCCTTGTGGCTGTTGAGAGGTTAGCCTCCGGAGGCTTGATCCAGTGCCGGGTGTGCCCACAAGCATCGTCCCGACCATGCCTCATCCTAAACCCGCCACCATAAACCAGACCGTAAGCCATAAATCTTGTAGGCAGCCTGAAATGCGGACTTCTTAATGCTCCGCAGGCAGCTTGATTCGAATTGCCACAAATTCCTGAGATTTGGGGTGTCACGATGGATGCAAAAGGGCGCCCTTGTGCTTTAGAACCGAACTCATTGTCAACTGATCACAGGCCGAGGAGAGTCCTCCGGCCAGGGCCCTGGGTGCAAAGCTTTTCCAGACTGTCTTCAAAGATCCGCCATGCCAGATGACTCATGCCCCGGTGGAGTTTCGTCTGGGATTGATCTTTCCCGAAGATACGCCTGGCGTGCAGTGTGCAGTGCGACATGGTCAACGATAGGCAGGCTTCACTAGAATTGCTATCAGAAGTGTTTGGCATGAGCATCCCGCAGATCACATCCATGGCGCAATGAGGGCACACAGTACCTGCCCTTTGCCAAGAGTTCGATGAAAGAAAGCGTGCGAAACGGATCAACACAGTACATCAAAAATGAGTTCTGGGGTTGCTTGATGCATTTGATAAGTGTTCGCATTTTTCATGTTATCGCGTGATCATAGTATCATCTCTCTCGTTTCGAAGCGTATTGCTTGCACTTCTGGAAGCAACATGGTTTTTTTTCCTTTGCTTATGTGTATATAAGGATTCAGATCATAAAGAGCAAACCGAACTTGGAAACGGTGCAAATATTCCTCTTTTGCTGTTGCTTTTTCTTTCGCGGCTTTTCACGAACTACTTCACAGATCGCCCCGCCAATGCATGAACGAAGAATTTGCCTGGAAGGGGCTATCTCTACAGGACAGAATCTTGGCCGACCCTTTCGGCTGGTTTTGAGAATAAGTCTCCTCAAAACCGCGCAGTGCTTCGAAGCCCATTCATTCCTCAATGGTATCCGAGCGGAGTGCTGGTACAGCCATAATGGCTGCAGAAGGCCTCGGTTGCTCTAAGATGCCCGAAGTCCTGCACGCCCCATCCATACCAATATGATTGCCAATATGGTGCTGCCCACTGTTCCTGAGTCGTAGCCGCAAGAACACAAAGAAAGGTGCTGACCTCGCTTCCGGAGATGCGCATGGCCAGCGAGAGCTTTGAGGAGAGACCCATGTGCGTGACGTGTCGTGTTGTGTCAGAGTGTCACTGGGGGGCGCCAAACCCCCCGAAAGAGTGAGGAGCCTCCTCTCCACCCCCCCCTCCTGCCATCTGCGCCTGTACTTTGCCCCTGAATTTCACGTCAAACATCCCGCAAGTCCAAAGAAGTTGTTAGCCAGGATCATCGTCAAGAGCTCCAGCGTGCCTACAAGCATGAGCTGCCGGAAGCCCCGGCAACCACACCAGAGGGCGCCCACGATCTCTCGCTCAGTATGATGCAGGGTTCAGGCTCATGATAGACATCTCAGTTCGAGGCTTGTTGGCCACGTCCTTCTACCATCCCAGGCACGCTGTTCATGAAGCATACAAGAAGCAGCTGCGCACCCTCCAAGAGGCATTCCGGGAGGGAGAAGAGCGAGAAGAGCGAGAAGAGCCTGCTTCTGTGCGCTGCACAGAGCTGGTGTAGGTTTTTTTCGGTGAAAGCTGGTTGGACTGCCTTGATCTCATCGTCATGTGTCCTCGCGACGGCGAGTATGGCTGGAATTTGCGACTGCGGCACCATTCCGCGTGTCCATACCCACAAATGGTCATCCTGCTGCAAAACCCTTGCAAATATCTCGCAAATACTCGCAAGCAGGCGTTGAAGATGCGACCTCCTACGCCCACCCTGGAGAAGGCATTCAACAGGATTCATGGCCAGTTGGCTTCATGTGGCAGAATAGCTGTGCAAGCTGCGGATCTGATCATCTCCATGCAACCGGGGAACTGCTGGAATTGGTTATTTGGATCGAGAACTTAGACCTGCAGCTGTGCAAGTGCGAGAGTCGTAGCCCCAGGCCCTGGAATCCCAACTCAAGGCACCTAACGGGTGGCAAAATTATGCCAAGCCATTAACCTGAAGCCAGTGCCCCCCTAAACAACGCAAACCAAGCCCTACAAGGAACCCAAGCCACTCGAGCTTCTCAGCACATGCATCACATCGCCAGGCAGAGCCCAGGTCTGTCGTATCTCTGAGTCATCTCCTCGGCCATCGCTGGAGGAGTTGGAGATGAATTTGAGGGGTCCTCCTAAGACCTTCTCTTGTTGTGTGTCAAGATGTAGGCAATGAGTTACCCTAACCTTCCCTGCTTGGCACCTGTTCGCTCCCACTGGCAGATATTTGCTTTCGCTTTGCTGGATGTCTGCGTGCTCCACCATGCCTGCCCTGCAGGTCTCATTCTCCTGTCAGAGTCCAGAAAAGCATACAGCCGACATCTCCTGACTATACCTGCGACTGCACAAATCAATGCACTTGCATGTTGTCATGCAATGCTTCATAGTGCAGCAGTGCATCAGGCACTCTTTTGGCCTGGTGGTTCATGTGAAATCATGTGGTGCTAAACCGTTTTGGTTGCCATGTGTGTAGAGTTCCGATGGTCGCTACCACTAGTGTCATAAGTTCTCCAGTTGCTGCGTCTTTCCGCATCTGACATCCCTGCACCCCGCTCCTCGATGTTGTAACTGGAGCTCTTTCTGCGCAGTCAGGGCAGAGCCCTTACAAAACCTTCAGCCTGCAGACCCACACCCTCTTGGATTTGGATGTTCACCACAAATCCCTAAACTGCCAAGAATGGCTATGGCTCAAGAAGGGCTGGGCAGGAGGAAAGCCCAGCAGCCAAATAGCACACTTCGCCCTGTGACGCTTCCTCCCGAGCCATGGGCCGCTCCCTAAAGACAACCAAGAGGACCGTGCGTGGTGCTGGCAAGGCCAAGCAGAACAAACCCAGCAAGCGAAACACTGTTCCACCAAAGAAGGAAAGGCCGAAGGAGGCGACGGACGACCCAGTTGCACTGGCAGACCGTGACGTGGCAGAGCGTTTGGAAGAGGACCTGCCCTGCGGCTTGACGCGGCAGGAGATCTTCTGTGTGATGCAACGTTGGGCGGAGCCCATCCTGAAGGCTCGCATCCCCGGCAAGGCCGTCCGGCGGCCAACGAAAGCAATGCTGGAGAAGGCCAAGAAGGAGGTGTTGCGCTTCCTCGCGCGCGAGAAAAGTCTGGGAGAGGAAAGCCCGGTGGTAAAGGCGTTTCTTCTTGCGACAGCCGAGCCGGCGTTGCGTTTCGACTGGGACTTTGCTCAGCAAAGGACGCGCCACGCCAGCCTGGACCGAAAGCGAGAGATCAATGAATGGTCGGACTGCTTTGCCATGACCAACGGGCCTAGCCACCTGCGCTCCGAGATCTTCATCAGCGGCACAAAGAAGCTGACACAGAGGGCCTTGACATCCCTCCTGTGCCACGAGTCCTTGCACAACTTGGCGCGTCGCGTGCAGCGACCTGGGAACCCACTCATCGCAGAGCAGACAGAGCACATGGCCATGGCTCTGCTTGGCGACCCCCAGCTGAGTCTTCAAGCGCAAGGGTGACGAGATGTGACTTAAGGCGAACTCAGGGCCTCCGTGAAACTATGTGAAACTCCTTTAGAGCCCGTCCGCAGACGGTTTGGCTGTCTGCTGCAGTGGGCAGGGTCCTCATCGTTGGCAGTGGTGAGCTACGCAATTAATTCTTTCGACAGCAAATGTCCTAAGAACAAAGTCTGCAAGGTGCAAACAATGTCAGGACTTTCAATAGCCTCAGCGAAGCAAAATCAGATGGGACCTGGACAAAAAGAATCTCCCTAAGCCCACAGCTCTTTTCATGCGACAACTGCAAAGAGGATGCCTGCCTTGCTGCTTCCTCCACCAGACTTGCCGTCAACTGGGTCATTGCTGTCTTCGGACTGAGGCAGCAAGAGCAGTTCCACAGACGAGGTGCGCACTTGGTTTCAAGTGTTCGTGGTGGCCGTGACCTCCGGCATAGGGAACTTGTCGTATTGACAGGCTACTTCGTGAACCCATGCCTGAACCCAGGATCCAACAAGAGATTGCCGGGCAGCCCTGACATAGACGGAGTACTGTAGCACAATTGCTCAAATGAAGCCAAGCATTCTTCAATGCTAGGTGGGCTTATCTACGCTTTCCAACTTTCCAACCAACTGGAAGGTGGCGTCGCGAATTCTTAGTTCTGAAAGTCGAATTTGGCTTTCGAGTTGACGGGTTGAACTTAATATTGATGTTTCGCCATTCTGCCGCACCCGTTCGGCTCACAGCTGGGACGCAGCCCCTTCTGATGGGGGGCTGCCCGCCGGCAGCTTGGCCGACAAGTTACGTTTTTCTTCGAATATGTTTGTTGTTGAACTACCTCCTTGGGTTTTGAAAGCCCACGGGTAATGTTAGAGGTTCAAGAGCTTACGCCGTGGGATCGGGCTGCAGTGCGAACGGATCACGACGACAGGCTTATCGAAGTCGAAGAACTCTGTAGGCACGTGGCAGCCCGTGAGATCGAACACCGGGACCCTGCAAGCTAGTCGACTGTTCGAGTTTTTGACTTGCAGAATAAAGCCAGACTTTCTTGGTTTCGTTTCCGGTATACAGAGTTCAGGGAGTTGGTGTTCATGGTTCAGGCAGAGGGAGGTCCAAGGGGTTGTTGTTCCACCAAGGCACACTCCCGTCTTTGAAGTGAAGTTGCAGCCGCTCCTTGGCTCCTTGGTGATAGCGTGGGTGAAGAAGTTTAATTAATACGGGGATCCAGGCCTGCAGATCAGCTACTATAGTCTCCCTGGGCAATACGTCTCAGTGAATACTAGCGTCGAGGGTCTGGCAGGTTGAGCCTTGACTAAGGCTCTGCGGCTGGCAAGGCGAGCGAAGGCGAAGCACACCAGCAGTCAGCTACTTCGGGTTTAGGGCTTGCGTCGATGGTTTGGGGCCGCTAGGGATGCACGTGGGTGCGGATGGTTTCCGAAGGTCATGTAGAATCGAGCTTGGAGGTGTAATGCTGCAAGGAGGCACTGACAGGCCTTCTGCCACAATGTCCGGCCAAATCGACACAAAGCTCTCCAACTCCTAGGATGCTCGCACCCTGGTTGCTGCTGCCGAGCCTCCTGTTTGGCCGGACCCCCGGAGGTTCTTTAGGGTCAGGTTTGCGTCCAGAATGGATCAGGGCGAATTCGTCTGGCTTTTGGGCCTTTTGGGATCTCGTGGGCCGGCGGCGGGCGAGCTTTCGAGGTTGCGTTGTATGGCTTGCTCAGCGAACCACAGGCTTCCGAAATGGGGATGTGTTCTTTGCTGGGCAGTGGACATCATGTTGGGGGCTGGCCAGCCTTGTGAGCCTTGATCATCTCATGCTTGACCGAAGAAGATCCAAGCCCAAGGGCTCCCCAAGCCATTCTAAGCCCTCAGTTCACTGTCTTGCACTCACGATCTCAAAAAAACACACCCAAGCCCGCAGTGGGGTCCATAAAAAATTTACAGGGCTAGGGTCTTGGGGTCGCCGGGAATTTGGCCAGAATCCTGCCGAGTACCCCATCCTGGAGTGCCCGCCCCCAGAGAATGCCGCGGAAAATTCCCCCAAGCATCCGTGATTCACACGCAGGGAATCCTGTGCTGCAGTGCCCGTCCGAGAATCCCGCCGAGTATCCCTGGTCAGAGAATCCTACAGAGAATCCCGCCGAGTGCAAGGGGCAGGTACGCCTCGTGCCCACAGCTTTGTTCTACTTAGATTCTACTTCTTGTGGTGCAAGTTGCACGGCTGGGCGCTCTACATACCGGCCAGAAGTCAGTCACGTTCTCTTGAAGGCATTTGTGCCCGAAGTGCGCGCTCCCGTCAGTTCAATGTCCGAAAACCGCCTCTTCAGGAAGCGGACGTTCGGGTTTAGGCGGTTTAGGTTACGTCGCATCTTGTCTTTCAGGGTTTCTAAAGTCACGGTTGCAGCTTCCGGGCCTTTCCACGACCTAATACCTTAGATGCCTTCATCCATGCTTCAAAGACTTCCTCGAGCTTGAGCGCCCGTGCTGAAGCAAAAGCTTCCGGAAAATGACCGTAGATGGCTCGTGTGCCCACCCGTCTGCCCACAAGGCCTCGCCTTGTCTACATCTTTGCGGCAGCGAGCAAGTGACCTTTCCACGCGATTTCACGAAGTGGAGGTGGGGGCCTCTCAGGACAACCAGAAACTACCGTGTTCCCGCTGTGTTCCTTTTCGGCGCGTGCCTATGGCATACTATCAGCTGTGGGCATTTACGGGGTCAAGGATTTGCTCGCAGTTCTTGTATTTCAGGGCTTCAACAAAGATGTGCCTCGAATTGGGGCCCCGACACTTTAATCGACACCTGAGTCGGGCAACTCCTTAGACGAAGAAAGCCATCGCTCCCCAAACCCTATGCTCTCTGGCTCATCACCTTTAAAGTCTTTTTCTGCCCTCGGGCCTGCGGGCATGAGCTTAAAGAAGAACTCTGAAAGTGATGTGTACACCGTTTGTGGAGGCACTGCGTAGCAAAGTGCAGTCTGGTTTCGGGCCTGAACCTCCAATCCTTGATGTCGCTGCCAAGGAGATCCTTCTGAAACCTTCTGCATGGTCCATCTCCCCGCCTGCGCCGGTACCGCCACGCTTTCTCATCGTCACAAGCCCACAGGCCATGTTGCCCTACCAAAACTGTAAGCCCCTTTTTCTGGTTGGTGTTGGATGTCTGGACGTCTCTTGGATAGAGCTGTGGCTTGTCGCACTCGGATTCAGGTGGGACGCTTCTAAACCTGTTCTTGGAGGTGCAGGCTTAGCAAAGCCCCTGCCCTGTCAAGGAGCGCATCATCAGCTACTCCCAGGCCCTTGGATTGCGGGGGCTGGTTTGTGGAGGTACTTAGGTGGTGTTCTCAAGCTTGCAGGATTGTTTCAATCTGTTTTGAACTCAAACACCCTAGCAGCAGAAATCCGAACTTCCAGCTCAGATTGATGATGACTACTCCGCTGTCAAGGGGCTTGTCAAACCGCTGATCCAAGGGGGAGTAGCACCTTGGCCATTCAGAGTTTCGGCTTTAGGTCATCAATCAAGTGCTACATGTTTTCCTGCGATCCATATGTAACACGAACATGAACTAATATGAAATCAGAAGCAAGCTAAGTTTTGAGATTTTCAATGTAGTATCCGCATTGCCTATAAGAGCATCTTTAGGCCACATCCTCCCTAAAGTTGGACAAGGCATTAAATGAAAAGATACCCGAAAGAAGGATAAAGAACTGGCCTGAAAACTCCCCGATGGTGAAGAAAGGCATGGTTATGAGATCAGAAAGGCAGCGTCCTGTGGGTGCATTGCATTGACTTATTCAAATCGTCCTGGTACTTCAGTGTGTGGGGGGGGGGGGGGGGTGGTACACCTTGTTTTTCCTCCCCTCCCCCAAACAAAGCCTATTGCTGTTGCTGCTTGGGAAGTGATTAACCTCCTCACGCGCACTTTCCAAATTGGACTTTTGCATACTCGGGAAATGGATGCCGGTGGAAAAGCTGCGCCTACCTTGTTCGGAGAACGGGCAAGGCACTCGTTGCAGTGGGATTTTTCAGAAAACACTCTAGGGCTCAGGGCTCGTGCAGAATTTCAATTTAAGGGTTGAGGGTCCACACTTTTTTGGCCAGTTTGGGCTTCAGGGTTTAAGCGTCAAGGCTTCAAGGGCTTACGGTTTGCAAAGCCTTTTTGCCCGGTTGACTCTCCAGTTTTGGTGCCAATATCCACAGCTTTTTGACATCATGGTTTGTGTTGGTTTGAGTGTATTGGTCCAGATGGGCGCTTTAGGTTTCAGCTTTGGGGCAAGGTATCTTCACAAGAAAAGGGTTTGTTGGATATCTTTGGCATGTGCATCATGTGCACATATCCTTCGTCAAATGAAACGCGACTTTCCCGGACCAGATATAAGGATCTAGCAGAACCCAGCAGCCAAATCCTCCGCGCCGTCAGAGTACATAACAGGTGTTCTGCCCAGGCGGAGCCTTGTGTTTTGGGCTTTGGGCGCGCTATGCCGTGTGTTTACAGAGGGTGAGTGTGCCGACAGCTCGGCGCAGCTCGGCAACCTTACAGCTAGACCTCGCGAGTTTGTCTTAGAATATGTTCCGCAAGGATGCGCATTTCTCGAGGGCCGGGCAAGGGAGATATGAGGCTTGAAGCCTTGGCCGTCGGTACTGCAGCATGGGCATGGCAGGAATTCTGTATCAGCTGTGGCTTTATGGGAACATAACGTAAGCACATGACGGGTTCTTGGAATCAAGGACCTGCCCAAGGGCATTGCGTTTGCCACCTGGCTCGTTGGCGACCGTCCTCGGCACACAAAAACAAAACCACCAAGACTATGGGTATGCAGGAAAATGCCCCCTGTACCCAAAGTCCAAAAGCACCTAGAAGCCATTGTCTCTCGATAAACCCCAAGCCCAATTGCCTGGTTACCCCCGCTGCACCCTTGCGGTCACTAGAGATCTCAGCTCCAGGGGCATTGATACTTGATCCCCAAAGCCAGATCGCAAAACGACGCCGATTCCTGGGATGTGTAGGCTGTAGACGAGGCAGGCTAAAAAGCACCCCCGAACCTCCAAACCCAAAAGCATAAACTGTCTAGTTTTGCACCCAAGGATGCCCGCCACAATCGCCTCTTCGTGGCAGACCCGGGTCTCAAGAGGACAGAGCTAGAATCGTAAACCTGCCCTCCACCCCAGCTGCTACGGTGCACCAAGAATCCCCGAACCTTCGGTGTACTGCAGACAGGAGGGTGGCAAAATAAGCCGATGTTCACAGTAGGTTCGGATCCATTTCAGGTAGTTCGTGGGCCCATGTGCTATCGGCTATGCAGCAAATACGGAATGCTTTGCCTGTTGTGCACCGCCAGGATCAAGGCATGGACGCTCACACTGGAGCGCTGCCTTTCCCCGGCCGAGAAGGCTCGACATGGCTCGACCCT